TCGAAACGATAAACCGATTGACAGGGGATGATCCCCTCGAATCTGCACGTCATCATCCGCTTGTAAACGTCCATATCGCCCGGGGACCACCTCGCCCCTACCGCCGGAGGCAGGTTCATAAACGGTTCGAAAAAGTAAATCTTCGATGGATGCGACGACACGATCCGCGACGTGATCGACGTCCCGCTCCGTTGAAGACCAAAAATAAAAATCGAAAAATTTTTCTTCAGCGGCGGAACCGGTGGGAGTCGCTGCAGCCAGTCTTTCGCCTCGTCCGTTAAGTTCGACCGGATTTGGTTTTCAACTCGTTCACGGTGTTCTGTTGGGAAGACGAAAAGGAACTCTCATGATGAAATCGCATATTGCACGTGAAGCGCATATTTTTGCACATTGCGTCTGGAAGAAATTTCGATTTCTACGTCAGGCCAACTGAAGAAAGAATTTATCTTTTTATTTATATTATATAACATGAGGATTTTTTTCCCTTCAATGTGCAGGGTGATTCACTGGGGTCTCTGCAATCTTGTCAGTATATTCTCTAATTACACCAGCAGTCGCCGTCGGGCCGATGGCCGGTAAGGGCCATCGACCCAATCGGCACTGAAAAACGGTTCATGCTCTTCCATTGAGGGACACACACACACACAGACACACAATGCTGCCCGAACAGACGTGAGATGGCGCCGAAAGCGCCATTCAATCGACAAGGTACCGGTTCCACTTGGCCATTTTTTCCTATATAATGCCATAAATAATACCCCCCAGTAATTGCGTAATCATCCGTAATACATGTATTCCTATTAAGAGGAATAATCATAAAAAGTGTCACATCATTGCCACCGCATTACCTCGAGAAAAAAAATTGTTGCATTAATTGCATTAATGATTCTTGCATTAATTGGAGGAAAATAAAATTTAATTCCGCGAAAAATCCCTCGATTGCGCCGCGAAGTGATCTCGCCGCCGCACTCACCGACGTAGCCGGCCGCCAGGATGAGAAAGAACGAAACCAAGGCGAGGCGATGGATGTTGAGGCAAGCCCACCGGCGGTCCATCGGCGGTCTCGCTCCGACCCCTGGGACCTCGACCTTTGCTGCGCCACTCGTCGACGCGTCTTCCGAATCCATTCCTAGAAACCCTAGCAGCGGGAAAAGCAGTTCGATGAATTCATGCATATAATAAGATGGACCTTCACACAGACGCGAGCACCCAGACAGGAATCTCGAAACTATTGTGAAAGGCCAGGCAGAAAAAGGGGGGGGGGGGTCCAGGCGGAAGAAGGCTATAAGAGAAAAGAAAGCGAAGCTCAATGCTGTCACAACCTGTCTCTGCGGTCAACCTAGCATGCCAGGAATATTAGATAGAACTTGGAAGTACTACCCATCCCAAGGACAAACCCAGCTGAAGTCTCTCTGCACACGCCATCGTCTGTTAATGACTCAAAATGTCTCGCGACAAAGCCTCTGGAACCAAGCTATAGGCCAAGCAGCCCACAAACGCCGTTCAGCATGCACAGAGACGACGATGCCCAAATTGTACATATGACATATAATTGTACATATGACATATAATTGTACATATGCCATATGACGTATAATTGTACATATGACATATAATTGTACATATGACATATAATTGTACATATGACATATAATTGTACATATGACGACAGGTTACTAAAAGCCTCTATCCCTCTAGAGGTGATGAGAAACATTTCGTATTTATCTTTGATGGTATTATTATTAATAATTAATTGTATTGCTCCAAATTCTATGTTTAATCATTTTTAATTCAAATTTAAAATAGAATTCAGTTATTACTCTTGTATTTTCTTGACGACATGTGATATTTAAACCACAATTTATATATTAATGTTATTAGCATCACAACTCAAAATTTTTTTACCCATTGGTGGGTCAAATTGTAATTAACATCTTAAGAAATTGCATTGCTGCAGCTATTATAAATCGAACTCGAATGTGAATTTATGTTTATTTCGAATGTGAATTTATGTTTATTTCGAATGTGAATTTATATTTATTTCGAATGTGAATTTTTATTTCCTGGTCCATGCTTGTGCGGCGGTGAAGCATGAATGTTCCGACGCTAAAAATTTCATCTGGTGAAAATTGCTTTTACTTAGATCGTAAATGGCGAATCGGACCTAGTTTGCCTTCGATTTTCCCAGTAAAAATCCCTTTAAAAAAATAGGATGGCTTATTCACATGTATTTCTATCGGTTTATATAAAAGAATCGCGCAATCAGAACCTCGGAAAACTGTAAGAATCTATTCCCCGAAAGTTCACGACATAATTACTTCGGAGTTCATTCAAGGAAAACCTAGGATGAAAAAAAGAATTTCGAGGAAACCTGATGCGAAAACTTCAGATTCTCAATAAATTAAAGCCTTGGAACAGAATTTTTTTTTAGTCATAACAGCTATCTTCCCGTAATTTCACCTAGTTGCAGACGATATTTAGGGTTTCTATTTTTCCTGGGAAGTAGAGAATTTCTCGACAATGTGATTGGATAGGAGATGGTTTGGATGCTAAGCAGTTTGGAAGTCCGAACAGATTAGCACTGGTTAGGCGATGCATGAGCAGATTAGCACAGATTACGCGATACATGAGCAGATTAGCACAGGTTACGCGATGCATGAGCAGATTAGCACAGATTACGCGATGCATGAGCAGATTAGCGCAGATTACGCGATGCATGAGCGCCCAAGCACGAGCGCAAGCATATAGTCGTTCCACATCCGCTTAAAATCATCAGGGCAGTCACGCGATGTCTAAAAAAAAAAAGTGACCCGACTTCACGAATCCTTCACAAGATACCTCGCACCAGCCCCAATCCAAAGGACCACGAAGCCAAAAAGACCCTAAAGATCCCCCTTCCCTCACATCCCCGCACGTGAGCCCGACCCGCACCGCCTGCCTCCCTCCCGACACCTGCTCCAATGTTACGACCGCGCAGCGCTCATCTGCGAAACACGCTCGAGGGCCACGCTCTGCAAGGTCATGCGTACTAAGCTCATATGAGGGCGGTACTATAACTGCGTTACTTGTGGTTAACGATTTAGGTTAGCAAATGGTAATGTTGAACAATTACTTTAGCCGAGGTTGACGTTTAGGTTTCCCTGGCTCACCTCAGGTTGGTGCCCTAATTACCTTAGGTATCCCGGGTTGGTGCCCTAATTACCTTAGGTAACCCAGGTGTGTGCCTTCGTTAACATGCATCGTCCCATCTTGTCGGCACGCGAACCTGTAAGAACACAGTTCCAGTCTGATGTTAGTACGTACGTGATGACTTTTTTGTTTCGGAGGGTGCCGTGACATCCTCATCCTCATCCTCATCCTCATCCTCATCCTCATCCAACGGCAACCGTTTGGAAACGTTGGGACGCGTGACGTCACGACGTGACGCGACGCCCGTGCCTGCCTGTAGGTGGCAGGTGTTTCTCCTTCGCTTTCTTCCCGCACCGGAGACCAGAAAGGATCTAAGCTCCAAATCGAGTCAGAAAGTGAGTTTTCGTCAATCGTGTTATTGTCGAGATTTAGGAAGAGAAGGACGGCGTCTGATGGAAAGGGAGGCGTGTGATGAGAGGTATTATCGATTGCGTACGTTTTTCTTCCTTAAACATGGTCAAACGGCCAAAAAAAATTATACCACTGGCCAGGGCAGACTCTGGGCTACAAATCTTGTGTGAGTGCGGTTTTTCGAAAACCGGACCGTTTTCGAGATAAAGGAGGAATTTCCCGAACTCAACGGCTCTCCGTCCACAGCCAATCAGCGCACAGCTGCGTTTCTGGCCAAGCTGAGAGAACGAGTGAGGAAGAAGAGGCCCGAGTTGTGGAAGAACAACGCGTGGATTCTCCATCAGGACAATGCTCCCGCGCACAATGCGCTGTCGGTAAAACAGTTTCTGGCCGATGAGAAGATCCCAGTGCTGGACCACAGACCTTATTCGCCGGATTTATCTCCGTGTGAATTTTACCTGTTTCTTAAATTAAAATCCGCATTGAAGGGGACCCATTTCCACACTGTGGACGAGGTCAAGGATAAAACGGTAACGCTACTGAAGGGGTTGACACATGATGACCTGCAGCATTGTTTCCAACAATGGAAAATTCGTCTCCAACGATGTCATTGAAGGGGACCCATTTCCAAACTGTGGACGAGGTCAAGGATAAAACGGCAACGCTACTGAAGGGGTTGACACATGATGACCTGCAGCATTGTTTCCAACAATGGAAAATTCGTCTCCAACGATGCATAGATAGGGGAGGGGAGTATGTTGAAGGGGACATCAATTAAGTTGTAATATTATAATAATAAACACACTTTTTGCTACCAGTCTCGTTATTTAATAGCCACACTTCGTAGTATGGTTGCCTTTCTTTTCCCCGAAGCTTACCTTTCAAGCCGGGAAACTGAACGACATTTCGTACTTGGACTCCGTATACACTGCGGAAGAACACGTGTTAGTATGCATGGTAAAGGCAATCGATGGCACAATACGTTGCTTCGAAAATTTCTGTTTGCTCAAGAACACTGCTTTGGAACTCTTGAAAGTTCGAACATTTAACTTTATGTTCGTTTCTCTCTTTACTCCACGCATCTCTTCGCAGACATGTTCAAGATCCTCTAAGTATTAAATTAGTCCTGCAGACAACAGCGTTAAACGCGTCCCTGTCGTTCAAAAAAAAAAATTTTTTAAAAGTAAATAAATAAATAAACAAGTTTCCCTTCAGCCGAGAAACCGTCCTATGCAGTACATATAAATTTTCCTTCATTGTTTTGATTGAAAAAAAAATATTCTCATTGTTTTCACTCCAGAAGCTCAAAAAAAAAAACAACAAAATAAACTTTAACAGTACGACACGGTACCGACGCTTCCGGCAACCCTGCGAACTCCTCCCGTTCCGCCACGTGTTTCCCCACCACCTCAGTTCCGCTTCGCTATTCTGCCCTGTCCGTGGAGAGGAGCGTTGGAGCCATGGATGCGAGGTCGGTCCTGTCGCTGTTGTGTCTGGCGCTGGTTGGACTCGCGTCGGTGCGGGCAGACGCGGAGGATCAAGGGGGCACGAAGCATGTTTTTTCTGCTCGGGTGGAGGTGAGTGAGACGGGAGTTCGAGGTAGTCGAGGCTGGCCTCGTAGGTTGAGTCAAGCCAAAATTGTGGAAAAAAGAGGATTTCACATTGTTCCGGTAATTGTGCGCCTAGGCCTTTCACGTGTGTGGCCAATCTCGATGTGACGATGGAGTTTGAGTGCCGCTGTGCGCATTGGAATCTTTGGAGTGGCAGAAACTCAGGGAACATTGGCTAAGTAACCTTGAGTTAGGCCTAAATGCTGATTGCTAATGGTGGTCTCTCTTCGACAGAGCTGTGGAGGATGACGTTTGAACCGGTTGCCAGAGGTGAAGAAATTCATCTACGATGATCTTCCCCTCTTGTATCCTTTGCACGAATATCGATCGTCGAATTTGCAGCTTGCCTACTGGAGCGAGGAATTTGGTGTTGGAAGTTCATTGTAGCTATTTGCCTGTTAATTGGAAATTTCCTTGACTAATCCTTGCAGCCACAATGTCATGTTCAAGCCCATCCCAGGTGCTAGTCCAGAACTCATTCTCCTCGATGAGCAGGATCAGGTGAGCTAAAATTCAGGATCACCATTGCTGGTATAAGGCTCCCGAGAGGGGAAGTCTTTCAAGGTAGATCGTTGACGTAACGACATGAGATGCGTAATACGTGAAAGTACTTGTGCATTGGTCACTGTGATGTCGGTTTAGGCCAAGAGAGTTGCGGTACGAGTGCGTAATGTTAACCTACGGATGTTTTTGTTTTTCTCTGCCTGAGCATCCTCGAGCAGTTGTGCCACGTGTTCCAGCTGGGCCTGGCATCATCTGGCACGGTTGTGGTGTGCCGCACAGCACCATGGCCCAAGTGCTTTCAAAGCATGCACGCTGTTCTGCATCTTTTGTGCTTTTCCTACCTGACATTTCTTCTCTTTCGAGAGACACGTCGTTCGCTTAAAAAGCCTTTCCATCCGCATGGCTTTGTGTTCAAACTAGGGCCTCAAGTTTTCCAGTTAAAACATGCACCAATGCAATCTAGTCATGAAGAGCTTACAATTGATATATCTCATGTACCATTTTGCTGGTGGTACATAAGGAAGTTTTTCTGGAATGGTAACTGCAACATCTAACTCCTTAAGAGGAGGTGATACTGGTTCTATTTCTTGCATAGCAACTGTAACTAAATTTCTTTTCAAAAGTAACTTGCCAAAACCAATTAATTGTGGTTTCTTGAGTTTGATTTGATTGATATTCAAATTGTTGAGATAGTTTGGGGTAAAGGGAAGACATGCATATTACCTGAGAAAATGAATTCGGTGAAGTTTGGTTTGTCCCTTATAATAGTGTTACGAGCCTATCTGGAGTGGTACATTGTATACTGGGATTGTCTTTGTCAGCTGTATCCATTGTATGACAGGCTTGAACATCTGGTTGATTTGTATAGGTATATGCTACTTTAGTTTTAAAAAACTGAGGTCATTCATTTTTCTTGTTCTTTGATGGACCTTTTATTTTTTGTTTCAAGTTGCATTCAGGAAACATGACGCTTTTGTGAAGTACCGAAGATCATACTCAATTCCTGCCATTTCTTGTCATTCTTTGAACCTGTCAGTACATTGTCCCAAATGAAAGTAAAATATTTACTCCATTGCACCTTCGTTAAAAGAAAAAAGCTGCCAAATGAAGATGGGGAAGAAACTAGAATGTTCATTTGGTTTTCAGTCATTTATAGTGTTTTGCCAGCAAAAATGAACATGTCTGGTTATTCTGATTTTGCATTCTCCTCTCTTCTGTCTCAGTCATCATGAAATATTAAGAAGTGTTCAGTGCTTTGCATACCAAATGTATCATCTGTTGGTGATTAACATATACCATTTTAAATTAATGTATCAGGAAAATTCCCAATAACTCAGCATAGTTGCATTTCTTGCTGCAACTTAGTGTGATGCTAGAAGCCCAGTTACTCTCGGGAGTTATCTGTATTCTGTAGGTTTACCTTCACTTGCATTGGAAGGAGAGGAGAACTTGGATAGGTCTTGAATGAATTGGGAGGATTTCTGGCTCCCCAAGCAGCTCACTTAACTGGTCATTAAATGTGTGAGCAATTTACCATCATTTTGCATGAGATATATGGTAAACGAGAGTGTTATCAACATCCTTGAAGTAGATATATTTTTAAATATTCCAAGTGTACTTTGCATTACTTTTGCATCAGTATGTCACAAAAGATGCATTTCCATCTTGCAGCAAATTGAGCGCATTGACATCTCCGGCATGAATCGAGAGGAGCTCAATTCACTGCTGCAGAAGCGGGGTTTCTTCCGGAGGGAGTCGCCGACCGACGCCGTCCCCGACGAGTTCCTTCGGGGACCCTACTTCCCCCACGAAGAACTCTAATCGTTTCCCGTTTCAGTGCATTCCCCCCTCTGGGTGTTGGGTTCTCGCACAGTTTGTGATTTTCATGCCAGGGATTCCATGTTTTAAGCACTTAGCTCTAGATTTTTCGAAAAACTTTCCTACTTCTGGTTTTCTCTGGTAAAATCTTGACACAGCCAGGTGATGGCTGAGTGTGTTTTTTTTAAATAATGCATCATTAGTTTGATCATGATGTATTGCTGGATGAATTCATGAGACTAATTCCAAATTATGTCAAGTTTGGTCCAACTGCTGCCCCTAGATCCTTCAAAACCATGAGTAGCTCGAGGTCTCCAATTTTTGTTGGCATCTTCACTTTTCACGGGTGACACATCCACGATCCTTTCGGTGACCGGATCACCCGAGTCTCCCGAATGCACGGGGTCAAAGAGCTTAAGTTACCATGTTAGAGGTTGCTTTCTGATCACTCAATTTTACAGAGAAAGGGAGATGCAATTTAGGTGGGGGCAAAGATCAAGGTGTGTGAGGTGTTTTGTCTACTTAAACATTCCATCCATTGGGGTTAAAAACCTTTACCTATGTTTGTGGATTCTGCCATGTTTTCACAGAAACCTTCAGCCTTTCACAGGTTGTACTTGTGATTTCACGTTTTCCAGGTGTCTTTGTATTGAATTTGTATGGAACTTGGATGCTTTAACAGCATGGATATTGGCTGATATCCTCTATGCTGATTCAGGTTCTTTAAATTTCCATTTTTGATGCCAATATTGAGTCTCTCTGAGGAGTAGACTGCAGCAATTGCTTCCAAAATAAAAGATAAGTAATTTTAACATCATTATATTGACCTTTCAGATGCTAAAAAGCCACTCCCAGGCCTTATAGCATGTCTTTCCCAAATCACTGAAGGTATTAATTTTACCACACTCATCAGCATGGAAAATATCTCCATTTACCATTAGTAATAATATTGACTGATACCCCTTATTGAAAGATTGCCTCACCTCTGACAACTGCATGGACCTTTCTAGTGGATTGAGGTCAATTTTATGAGGATTATGAATTTTTATGGTGTGGGAGGGTTCTTTACCTACTGTATTTATTGTTTGCTCTTATGCTACTTGCATCATTTTGTACCATGTTGATTGCCAGCTAGCCTGTGATGCCTTGTGTCCCTGTACGTCTGCTCTTGGATGTCTGAATGATGATCGGTCCGAAAACCCATTTGGGGGGGCTGAACTGATGAACTGGAAATCCAATTGGAGGAATACAGTGGCCTTTCTTTCCCTGAAACTGGTTCCTTTCCTTGTTTTCAGTGCTCGGGTTGATTTTTAACAAAGGGGAGCATTTGATCTGGAAAAATTTAAATCAAAGTAGTTCTTCAATTGAATGAGTCTCCAAGAAATTGCATTTTATATTGCATATGCAAACCTGAGGAACAATATATATTTTAAATGTAATGCTGCAGTTAATGATCGATTGAGATACACCTCTCTTATGTCAATTGAAAATGCATGTTATGGTTAAGGTCATGCAGTTTTAATTGAGATATAAATGTCTCTCATATATGTTTGGGGCATTATATACCCTTCAGAAATTCGTTTCTTGGAGTCAAGCTTTAATGTGCTTGCATTCCTGAGGAGCCTAAGGGTGGATTTTTGAACAGAGCACTATCCGATAATGCAGCTTTATTTCAGAGAAAATGCATTATAAATCCGGTAAATAAAGCTGCTTATCCGATAATGCAGCTTTATTTCAGAGAAAATGCATTATAAATCCAGTAAATAAAGCTGCATTATCAGGTAATGCTCTGTTCAAAAATCCACCCTAAGTGATGTGCAAGAACATGCATGTTGTAGTCTCAGGCTCAAAATTCTTGTAAATCTGAATTTCCTTCAAACTTGTAATATAAATGCATACCTTATCACTTGTTGCCCACTGAAAAAAATGTAGACCATATTTTCTCAAAATTCAGTTGTAATGCAAAAAAAAACATGGCAACATTGATTTCACCTCTGCTGTAAAGTCTTCCCTGTATCTCTTAACATGAAAAATGCAAAATCTTCATATTTTAAACAAATAACACCAATGTTCAGTATCAAAACAAAGGCAAAGGCTTTCATAGACCTTTCATAGGATGGCTCAGAATTGATATGATCACTTAATCTTTTTAGCAGCAATCTATAAGACCTTAAATCGGTTCTGGCTCCAGCACTGGCCAATGGGTATGAGTTCAGAATGGGCCACCATTCCACTGACCAAATGTGGCCATCAGAACAGCCCTTAAATGAATATGAAGATAATAAAATTCTTGAAAATCGGTGGTTCAGAAAGGAACATGGCAAAAAAAAGTTGAAATCAGACTATTGCCTAATGATTTTTGTACCTAAGTTTTGGGATCCATCTAGGCCTGGGTTCTTCGTGCAAATACAAGCGATGTCTATATTTGCAGAAAACACGGAGTAGGCTATGGTAGTGGCATTAGGCCGAGTCAAGTAGATGATGCTTCTTATATATCTCTCTCTGGTGACAGTCTTGTGACAGGGGGGCTGAGTTTGAACCTAGCCCAGTAAGGTGGCTGTTTCCTAGTGCAAGTGCCAGCATGCTTGGGTAGGGAGTACCTGAGCACAAAGCTGTCCCATCTCTAGATGTGGGACGTTGAAGAACAGCAGCGGTGAAGGTCGAATGCAGGTGGCATATCCCCAGATTATGATGGCAGTTTAACCAAATGCAAAGTGGAAACGGAAAAATGATTACATTTTCTGCAGCCTAATACTTCTTTTTTTCATGAAAACATATCAGCATTTTCATCCTTGTTTTTCACTGGAGTCAGACATTTTCTCTCAATATTCATCATTTGCTATACATACTTACCATTTGGCATATATCAGGTGCTGTTTCAATATCAGTTATCTGCAGGTCATATATAATTTCAGGCTGATATATTGGGTTCACCCAATATCAGCCTATATCGATAATTGATAACAATAACATGGCATCTCTACTCTCAAATTCTTCCATCCAGGTGGCAGCTTTTCTTCATTGCTTCAGCTTTAATTGTGAGGCTATTTTCCACAATAGCAGAAGCAAATTGAACTTTTTTTATGCTTCTCAATAATGAAATGACGTAAATGTATAACATTTTGCATTTTTTTAGTACTTTAAGATTAGAAATTATTTACCATGAATAGCTCCAAGCAAGTACTCTTTTCTAATCTGTATTTAAAGCCATTTCCATTTGAGTCTGATTTCAAGTCATTGTGAATAAATTATAATTGTGCTTTTCATGATTGCTAAGCAAGAATGTGCTTGGTTGTAGTTTGGAAAATATTGCATTTTGAAATGGTATAATGACTTACAAGACATAATGCAATCCAAAAGAGAATGTCTTAGAGCTGATGAAGAATGCTTCAATAACTAACCTTCATATAGGCAATGCCATAGAAACTCCAGGATCGTACAAAGAGCAGAGCGACATCTGACCAACAGGTGGATAAGCTGCCATGAATCATCCAGCAGGGCCCTCTGATCACATCCTCTCATCTGCTTCATTTCAAATGTTATGTATCCTAAGACTTAGATGACAAGTCTCAGGTGGACGACCTTAAGTAAAACCTGGATAGCATTTTGAGGGAAAACATTTTGAAAGCTATACATTGGACTTATCTCAATGTGCATCTTGATGCACAAAAATGTGTCATGTCATGTTTTAGTGAGGGAGGCATGTGATATCTCCTTCATTGCCAAGACAAATTTTTGATGGAATGGAATAACATGACGGATAAATCAACTACCCATTTTTAGACATAGAAATGAGGACTCTCAGCTGACTGAACATATTTCATTCAAGAAGTCAAAGCAGAATCTGGAGAAAAAAAATAATCATCATAAATGTGATATTTCTCTGAAGATGAAATTGCCCTGCCCATATCACCCCTCCACAACCAGGGAGGGTGGGAGTAACCACGGTGAGAGAGAACACAATTTAGATACAAGGGGATATGGAGCACTGACGATAGCAACAGTCAAGCTTCGACTAGGGCCTTTCAGGCGAGGAAGAGCCACAAGATGAACAGGATTGCAACCCAAAGAAACACCTTGGAGAGGAATTGTTCCTGCTCTGATTGTGGGGTCCCTGGCTGGGCTGCAAAGATACCAAACAAATTAAATTTTCCATGATGAACCTTCTCCACTTAGAATTACTTCACACTGAAAACAATCTCGACATTTACTGAGTCACTGTATAAGCAATGATCATTTGCAATATACAACTGCAAATCAATCTCAAATATATTGTAAGCTGACAATGAAACTGGCACATGCCTATATTTTGGGCCAAAAGCATTAATGAAAAGTAGAGCTGCCATATAAGACTACATTTTCCTAATGAGTAAATCAGTGAAAACCTATTTTTAAAAAAGTTACATGAATGAAATTGAAATATTCACATGCTTCCTGATGCCTGAAATGAGATATTACATGGAAACCAATTTACTTCTTCCCATAACATAAATGACTTCAAGTGAAAATCCAACTTCAAATTGTCAACATTTTCTTTAATAAAAGAGCCTTGTATCCCGCTGGACAAGGTCATTTCAATTCAATGGCTGCATCCTGTAGGATGCATTAGGGTAATGAACCTTAGGCAACAGTGAAAGGGATCTTGCAAGTCAGCACAGAAAGGATGCATGATCAGATAACAAGTAGCATATTTCACTTGGTGTTATGGGGTACACTAACCAGGAAATATATCATGTAAAAAAAATTCCTATCTGTCAAGAGGCATGATAAGAAAATTTCCTTTTCTTCAAGTACCATACAGGATTTCATTTTCATGTTCATGCCTTGAATGGAAGCTTTCACCAGCATACAACTCTGGGGCATGCTGTACTAAGAAAATGAGCAGTCTAGCAAATTTTAATTCCCTGAAAGTTTTTAGATTGCCTATGAGATTAATTTTTCACACAAAACCCAAACCCTAAAAAGAAATTGCACAACAGGATATCCCCTAGACATAAGAACGATTTCTTTCATGCCTCTTCTCGCAAAAAGGAACATGATGCATGTCAGATTTCACTTCTGCAGGTATGAAAAGCCAAAAAATACTCTTGCCTCATGAAACATGGTATCATCTAAGACAAAATGACAGAAAAAGTCAAATTACAGTGTAAGGATGATCTCCAAAGTGTTTTCAAGAGCTTCACCTTATGCACATGTTGAAAAAGCCTAAGAAGCAAGAAAAATAGTATCATATACCCCACGAGTATTATTCAAAACTGGACCTGCATCCCAATTAAAACCTCGAGTAGTTTGACAGCTCTGGAGTTGGTCACTGACATGTCATCCACCACTCATACCCAAAATTCCACAAAAACACCATTGGCACTTTTCAATTTTTCTAGGGCAGACTAGGAAATGTTTAAATATGATTACTAACTTCTTGAATGAGTTTTTTTTTATTTATACAGGGTGGCCCAAAATAATGCACCCACTTTTTCATCCATCATAATTTTATCATTTAAAAATGCTTGTAGATGCCAATTTGAGCATCTCCAGTGAACCAAAAATGTATGAAGAGATAAAAGATTGTATTAAATATTAATAAATAAGTTATGCTAACATGTGATTTTATTTCCATCAGTTATGCAGTTCTTGAAAGTACCCACAAAAATGTGGGTACTTTTTTGGGCTACCCTGCATTTTTACTTCCATGCCACAGAGTGGACATAGCGAAAGGCAACTGGCAAAAAAAAAAGAAATTCATGATGAACACCATGGGTTTAATTACATTGAAGAGAAAATCAGGAGCGACATCATAGGAAATGTCCACCTCCAATCACGATCAGGTGATTTAATCTTAGTGCAAAAAATCACATAGTGATTACACTGCACTTCCCATCATGCTTCCCATTAAAAAAATGTGAAAACTTGGGGATTTATTTATTTATGTGAACACGCTATTACCCCCAGGAACTTTTCAGCATGAAAAGCCATACAATTTCTCAACGATTTTGAGTAACTGGTCAGCATGAACCTGGCGGTCAGGGAACATCCATGAGTATAGGATGTAGGAGGAGGAGATACGCTCCCAGAAAGCAAGATTCATTTATGTGCTTTAATAAGAAAAGGTAGAAGTATAATCATCTACCTGGTAAAAACCTGGTAAAAAAAAAAATATATATATATATAAGGATCATTAATAACATCTACCACTGGAGATATCTCAGGAAGTCAACTAGAGCACTGCATCTTTTTTTATGTATCCAAATATATTTAAATAATAAAAACTTATCAAATTTAATATGCATTTGCTTACCCTCACAGAATTTCCAAAAGAATCCAATGAATAACTTAAAAACAATTCAATAGAGAGGAACTCACGGGAGGCAGGCCTCATGTCACCAAAATTCAGGGAGGAAGCAAAGAAGCCAAACGGGAATGCTCCGATGCCAAATGACATCTGAAATCCCCCATCCAAGCCAAAACTTGAAAATCCCTAGTGATTGCAGGGACACAAGGAATTTAGAATTGATCAAGGGGCTGAAATACTGAGAAAGTTGGATGCTTCAGCTATATTCCACTCACTGCTGAATTTTCAGGCTCACTTCGCTGTCCAGGTGGACGAGGGGGCAGCCTCTCCCTGGGTGAAATATGGAAAAATTAGAAATGGAACTCGCAACAGATCATGAATGTTGACAATGGCATAATTAGGTAGTACCCCTGATTAATTTTAGGGAAACTGCCATTCCTTTTTTGCCTTTCCAAGGAAAAAACCATCTTACATACCATAGTAAGGATATGGTGATATCAGTGGAAGAAAATGACAAGTTGCACAAACACATTTACTCAAATAAAAAATTTCTTGTCACAGTTACCCCCAATTTTCCCATTGGCCACATACAGCTTTCTACAACAAAAACTTTCATCACTTCTAATATATTTTGTTGCAACTACTTCAAAATGCACAACACTAGGTGCAGCAGGTCTAACCTGGGGTCCTCATGCTTGGTGTCCCCTCTCCCATACAAGGGAATGACCTTGTCCTTGCTGATGCCGGCCTTGCACACGGGACACATCTGGCGGTTAGGCCGGGTCTCCAGCCACTGGTGCAGACAGGGCCAACTGGAATCCCATCACGCACAACAGGTTTAGGCATCACAAGAGGAGGGAGTCCACTCTGGTCATAGAGATGATGTCCATTTTTTCAAATGAAATGGAAATCACTCATGACAATTTATCAAATTAACACATTGACTTAATTACACAGGTCCCACTTTGCATGAACAGGGAAATATTGCTTAATATTTTACCTCTTGCTTAGTCCCAATTGGATAATCTTTATATGTGATTTTTAAATTAAAAAAAACTTACTCCTGGGATCTCCCATGATCCACTTTACTAAAGACAGGGAGACAAGCAAGCCACAAGAAAACTTTCTTTCAGAGTTATGTGATCCCAAAACATGCTAGACTCCAACATCGCTTCATTAAATAAAGTCCCCTCTGTATGTTAGACGACTTACAAGAGGGGATTTCAGAGTGAGAATGAAGTGGCCAGGTCACATGAAGGAAGAAACTACAAATAATGACCAAGACGATTTCCAATACAGCATTGTACATTATCTTGAAAACATGCCGATTTAAGGCAATTTTAGGATGAAAGTGACTGAATCAATTTGTAATGCATCAATGCATAATGCAACAGTTTTTACTATTACAAGTACAATGCCAGAGAATGTGCATGTGCTCAAAATATACATTTTAAGTTATTGTAAATTGTACATTGTAAATATACTTTTGGTATCTGCTTCTGATATAATACGATTTCATAATGAGAGGCATAAAACTTTCAGGGGTTATTGTAATTCCCTTGGGCCAACACAGCCCTTATTCAGGTCAAGTCACAACATTCATAAGATTGAACCCTTCAGTGATACAAGGTCAATTTGTAGACCATCAAATGAAAATAGATGTTTGAAACTGAGAGAAGATTTTTCACACTTCTGACACGAGTCACTTCCCAGTGAAGCTTTTCTCGAAAGATGATGAAACTTTTGCTGTGACAGAGTTCTCATACTTTGCTTTGTCAGTGCTTTGGCAAAGAGGAAACTGCAAATTTTGCAAACTCCAAACAACTACTACAAAATCCAATTTATACTTGACGTCACTGGCTCAGAAAGATGCAACTTTTGGATCAGATTTTCTAGAATGAGCCTAAACCAAACAAGCCTCACCAGAACAAATGGCCACAGTAGCTGACGACAGCATCCCTGGCAGTGTCTAGGCATATATTGCACTCAAACATGCTGCCCTCCGGGGGGTCGCTCTGCTCCGTTGCAGTGTTGCTGGCCGGCTTCCGCGACCGGGCGCCCGATGACTCGGAGTCGCATTCGGGCATTGCCTCAGGATTGTCAGCCATGATTGGGGGATCTTGTAGCTCACGTCATCATCTGATTCCTTTTATGGGGTCTTGGTATCATCATATACCTAAATAGATGTGCACATATGGCAAAAATTATGGCTTTAACCCAACATTCTATTATTCGTCCTTGAACAAGTTATTAATGTTCAAAATATACCATATTAACTGCATAAACTACAGGAAAAAGAAGTTGAAGGCCTACCATCACTAAGCCAATTTGAAACTGACAAATGCTTCATTGGAAGCTCAGAACTTATTTACATAAAAAACAAAATGGCAGCATCATTGACCACGCTGGCTCAACCATGACTTCATTGGCTGGTGGGGAATCAAGACATCTAACATCATTCCTAATGTGACAGTTATTTTCAGCCCACGAAATGCAGGCGTGTCTTTCAAGTTAGCACAAAGTGCTTCCTTTGCCTTGTGGGAAGATTTTTAGCAATCTTTTGTGGCCTATCAGTACAAAACTAGATATCTCTTCATAATCAAAGAATATCATGGTCATTTAAAAACTTATTGCATTATGTCAGGGTAAAAAACTTATACTTAAAGTTGAGATGTCTCATATCAAGAAGTGGGGAAACTCTCTCTTGGCCTGGAGACCCCTGTTTGGAAATAAATATTTTGATGACACTTGCAATATGATGAAATCCACCACTCTTTGAAAAGAAACAGCTTTCATGACATCTAGGCCTAACCACAGACATCTAATTTCACCTCAGAAAGTCATCTCGGCCCCAACTTAAGAGGCCAAGTTCTCTGCTACAAAATGTAGGCATCATGAACTGAGGAGATATTATGAGTCAGGTGACTTCCAGCTCATCCTTCATGTGAGGGCCAAGCCAACTCAGTCATTAGACACTGCCAACAAAAACAACCAAATTAAAAACAAGTGTAAGACCAAGAAACAGCAGGCCTTGATAGGCCTATCCCATCTGCACTGCACAATCTTTCAGACCAGGCTAATTCCTGCCTGCAATGCCCAGTTATTCCTGCTACATGAATGAAATACATCAAATTTTGACTCAGTTCTCATGAATATGAACGAGGGCAAGCCAAAGCCTAGCTCCAATCAATATTCAGGGGAGTCTTGGGCCTATGAGAACTTTTCTGCCTAAAGATCGCTTACTCTCTCATTTTCTGGGTGTTGAACTGACGGATAGGATGAATGTGGTAACGTTAGAAAAATTAGGCCTAACGTTAACAATTAGCATTGGCATTTTACCGCATAAACTGCCAAAAAAAACTGCATAAACTGCAAAAAACTTTTACCGCACATACCGCATAGCTGCCTTTTTAGCATAACTGCTAAAAAGGCAGCTAGGCCCAGGTGAAAATTACAATCAAGGTCAGGTCCAGGCAGAACGAAAGTCCTAGCCTTAGACATCATTATCGTCCACCCATCACGTCACCACAAGTACAAGCACGCGTCAACACTCCATGTCTCATCCAGAATGACTGATACGAAGAACACGATAGCATATCCTGGAGGTCTGCTGATGTCGTTCTGACGCAATTGAGCCTCCAGACGTTTACATCCGCGTCGCGACATCTATACTCTCCATTCGCCTCCGCTGTTTTTCTGTGTCTGGGCTAGAGTGCGTGAGCGTCGAATCAATTGGGAATGCCAGATTGGAAGACTACTGATATCTTTCTGTTTTCCTGGGATCGATCAACCGACTAGAAAATGGAAGCAGTTAAGATCTCAGCTGTGTATGTGCTGTCATTTTTATTGATATATTCAAATTAATTAATATTACTCAAGCATTGGCTCCGTGAGCCATTTGTCACTCCTACCAATATGTCTTAATCTTCAGCATATAAATAAAGTTTCCCAATATGAATACGTTGAACTCATTTGCAAAGGCCTATTCCTTCATTTGCAAGTCGCAATGCCCCGAGAGCCTTGAGCAAAATTCCAGGAAACCCACGACGACATGAGCCGCGCAAAAGCGCGAGAGGAATCGAATACGCTCGGCGCGTCGCAATGCGCCAAGGAAGCAAAATCGGACGTCAGTCTCGTCTCCTCTTCCCGCCCTTTTCTTCGTGTCCCGAAATGTTCGCAGCGCGTCGTGCTTTCATGTGTGAGATTCCTGCTTCTTCTGATGAATTGGTGATTGATAAACGATGAAAGATGATTGGTGAGCGATGAATGTTGAAGTGGGATCGCGGAAGAACGAAAGAAAATTTTTCTTTCTCAGCGGATTTTTCTCGTCTCGTTGGCTCATCGGGTGACACAACACGAAAATCTAATTTCGATCACATTGAAGATGCGATTTGGTGCGTAAGAGACGCTTAGGCCTAACTCACGGTTTCCAACGCCGTCGCCTGCCTCGGAATCCCGAGCGAACTGGAATTGCGGTCTCGATCTCCCCCAGGAATCGATCGCAACTTGAAGAATTCCGACGGGGTCACATCTCCGTGGAGACCGATAATAATACTTTCCTACCATCTTTTACTTTTTTCTTTACTTATTTCTCTGGTATAAAATTCCTTTAAAAAAGATAATTTGTCGAAAGTTGATCCCGTTATTTTTCATCGACTCTTCATTTCAACCGCACGAGACCGAAATAATTTTTTTCAGCTCGGCGTCTGCAAATTGCCAGGGTTGCCAGATCCGTCGGTGTCGCGACGCAGCCAGTCCTGCCCCGAAACCGTTTTTATTCCCTTTTCGTTGCCAAGTCATGCCCAAATCCCCGAATCACGACGGATCGGCACGAAGTACCGCTAATTACCTTTCGAAGCTTCTCCGAAAGCACGACGGAATTAATTTCTCGTCTGCAAAAATCTGGCAACCTGCACATCCTTCTCCGGTCGCATTTCCCACCGACTCCATTGCCACCGCCAACGTTGCACCTCCAGCCACGCACATGCGGTCGGAGGCTCAATCATGCGCAAACCTCCGAAAGTGGCAAACCTTTTAAGAGAGCAATTAGGAGCTTCCGTCCCACTTTGCGACGCAGATGCCAAATGACGTTTTTGAGAGAGGGGTCAAATTGAGAAGAAATTGGCGGAAACGTGCCAAATCGGCTATGGTCTGACATCCTAGTAAATAAAATATAAATATCAATAAATAAAATATTTTAAAAAAGTAAAAGCGAAGCATAAATTTACATCAATAATAAATAACTAAAACTTAGAAAACGAAATTCTTTATTGGCTCACGCCCGAAGAAACGATTCAGAAATTGTCGGAATAAAAAAAAAAAAAAAAAAAAAAGGAAGTCGGCTCACAGAAATAGCATTTAAAAAAAAAGTCACACATCGGTATGTCGTGGGGAGACTTTGGCTCCAAGATCACAGCCGTAGTCGTAAAGCTTCTCCGCGTCCGTCTTGTTCCTCGCCTTGATCGCCGGCGCCCTCGGGACGGACCGGCTCCGCGGCCGCCGAAGCCTCCCTCCCTTCCCCGCGCGCCCGAGCACCTCCCCGAGCCTCGGCACCTCCCCGAGCAGCGGCACCTCCTCCGTCGCCAGGCTCTCCTGCGACGAGAAGACCACGTTGCACACCCTCGCCCCCCCGTCCTCGGCCGGGTCCGGCTCCCACGGCGAGCTCCGCCCCTTCCGCGGCAGCACCCCCAACGGCGTCAGCGTCTCCCGCCGCAGATATCCCCTGTCCCCGTGCGCCGTCTCCACGTACAGCCAGTCCCCGTGCTTGTGCACGCAGTTCACGACCGTGCCCAGGGGGAGCCCGCTTTCTCCGTCTGCTTCCTGGAAACGTTCCGGCGGGTCACGTGGGGAAACAGGACGACGTCGACCAAAATTTCGATCATTACAGTGCGTCCACGTCGAATCGTACCGACCTCGTAATGTCAAAAATCGCACACATTCGAATATACGGACTGAATTAAGTACGAATTAAGTACTGAAGCAAGTACGAATGTTCCAAGTCGTTTACCATTACATCCCAATGGCACGACACTCCGCGCATGCGCACCCTCCCGCACCGCAATTTTCCGCATACCAGTCAGTTCCGAATGAAATGGCACAATATGCGTTGTGGGTGGCCAAGCTCCAATCAGCCGCGCAAGGACGGACGAGATTCAGAACTATATACACGATATGAATCCTCGGAACTGTCTTGTAAACAGGAAATTCCGCGGCGGGTGCGCGGAGTGTCGTGCCAATGCGATGGTAAAATAAAAACTGGAGGTATTAGTCCTGACTTTCATTCAGTCGCAATTGAGTGAGTCATTTCACGAGATTTTATGACATTTCGATTTTGTTCCCATTCAACGTGTACACGCTGTATATATATCTAATTGCATACTAAAATAACAAGAATAACTTTTAAAAAAATGTAAAAGGGTGACAACATACAAATTAAGAATGAATAAGTAAATCTGAAATATAAAATTCGATAAACACGGCTGGGAAATTAATTAGTATGAGTAAAATCCAAGTCATTTCTGAAAATGCTAAAATCAGCAACGCATGCAACAAATTCCCAGCCATTTCTTCGACCGCGCCAATCTACGTCACTGCCAAAAAAAGTGCGAAACCGCATTGAGCAACCGCCGCCCTTGGAGGAGCGACGCCGATGAGAATGATGCCGCAGTTGCGGGATGACGAGGCGCATCGCATCAAGGGCGGCAGTTGCGTCATGCGGGGCGTGGAGGCTGAATTTTTCGCGGAAATCTTCGCGAAACCGCGAAATCCATGACTCGCTCCAAATTCATTCAATGTCGCGTATGAATAATTATTTAAATAATGAGAATAAAATTAAGAAAAAAAAAGCCGCGAGCGAAACTCGTCTGAGATTCCCGTTCACGCCCCGCACGCCGAGAAACGCGGAGGACTCACGACGGATCGGTCCCGTTTCCTCGCGAGGCAGGACGGCGAGACGAGAACCATGGGAATGTTGGCCGGCTTCTCGAGACTGGACGACCGGAGAAACCGATCCAGATCCCGTACGTCGTACCCCACCACCTGCTTCACCTGCCTGTAATGGCACGGCGGGCTCAGAACCGGCGCGGGTCCCAGGGCCGGACTCGGCCTCGCGAACGTCACCGCCAGCCTCGGCCTCACGTACTGCGTGAACGGGCTCCGGCTGCTGACCTGCAGCGACCTCCCCTGACCCGGCCCGACCGGGATCGGGGCGTGTCCCGACACGCCCCGCGTGTCCCGCGACTTCAGCGGTTTGGGCGCCAGCACGCCCTTCTCCCGGTTTGGCGCCCCTTCAGACATTTCACTTTCGTTGCACTGCCGGGCCTGCGGGCGACGAAAGACAATAATAATTAGAAATGTTAATGAAGACTCCTCGTACCTCCTAATGTTATACATAATTGGGACGTTTAATCTGCGTAAAAGTTTAATTTATAAATTTTTAAAATATTGAAAAGGCGCACAAAATAATGACAAAATTCAAAACTTAAAAAAAAATTCTGCCTTGCGAATTTCCCGAAGGAAACTGGAATGAGCCGTGCCGAATTCGCGTTATGAGCCGTGCCGAATTCGCGTTATGGGCCGTGCCGAATTCGCGTTATGGGCCGTGATTGCTCAATATTATCATCAGCGGACGTGCTATTTTCGCTCTCCTGATGCCGAGCGCATTACGGCGTAATGTCGGACGAGTTACGAACCGGGCGCCGCAGCGAAACGAAAGGGGGAAGCATCACGGCCGTGCGCCACATCCTCACGCACACGCGATAACCCGCGTCCCCCCCTTCACGCACACGAGTCTCGAAAGAAGAAACGCCTCACGGCGACGCAAGCACACCCCACGAAGGGGGATCTTTCCTCTAAAAATTATTTACTCCCCTTCCGCGTGCGAAATCAGAGCGAGCGGCTGGCGCCGGAGGGGGGGCAAGGGGGGCAGGGGGGGCAAGGGGGGCAGGAGGGGATATAGACAAAGCCCCCGGTTTCCACGACCTCTGGTCCTGACCCCTTCGCTCTCATAACGGGAGGTGCGCGCTCGCCGCACCCTCTCTCTTCCTTGATGGCAACGAGAAATTCTCCCACACTGGGTGGAGTTGTGGGGGATAATCTCTCTCTGGAGGGGATCATCTGTAGGGGATCATCTCTAAGTTCCGTGCGTGCGAGTTCTTCGGGACTGGGACGAGTGGAATGGGGATCGCGTCGAGAGAAAATGGCTGAACGTGACCGACTCTGATAATTTTACGTATTTTAGAATTATATATATTTGATATTATGCACTTGATAATTATATATATTTGAAATAACATTAACATTTTCAAGAACGGGAAGAGAAACGCAAAGGACCAGGGTGATCCTGCGTCACCTCAAATGTTTCATTCACGGACGAAAAAAGAAAGCGAAATTAACGAAGCCCAAAGAAGAAAAAAAAAAAACGCCATAACGTACGGTAATGTGCCCGCATGAAATATACTCGGCTAATTATACACTGCAGCCGACAAGAACGCGACGCGACGGCACTGGAGGCAACCCCCCCGCCCCGGAATGCCAACACGAAGCTGCAGGTCGCACTTTCCACGTGGGAGCGGCGGATTCGCACGAAAGAGAAAAAAAAGGAGGGGGAGACCCTGCACCCTTCGCGTGCAGCCTCCTACTGCGCCGAGTCGGGACTGGAGCGGGTGACCCCTGCCCGGGCAGCCCTGACCTTTCTATGGGCGGCCGAGTCACGGTTGCCGGATCCTCCGACTCGGGAACCCGACTCGCCCGTTCGCATCCCGCCTCCCTTTTGAGGATCGCGAACGCCGTGACTTTGCGGAAACGACGGGATTCGCTCGATGAATGCCTCCTTTCGACGCTCGTGCCCGGTCATAATGGATGTCGTAATGGATCTGCAGAGAACCCGATGCGACAACCCTCGCCCCGCGAATTACCACGTGAGCGACCCTGCGGATCGTGGAGAGAGAGAGAGAAAAGCCTCAGATTCCCGATAGCGAAAACAATGCCTTTCCCTCCCTCCGTCCCGTTGCACCTCTTTTCTCACGCTTTTTCGTGTCCCCGGGCGACGAGGGCCGACGAGGGCCGACGAAGGGGCCAGACGGGAAATTATGGCAATTACGATTCCCCGATTTCTCCTCCATTCTCAAGGTCGCGGCTCCCGAGAAGCTAATGAACGAATTTATTGCAGGAGGGGCGCCTCTCCTCTTCCCTAATTTCCTTCCCGTCGGCCGAGAAAAAAAAAAAATCCAGCAGGAAATTAATCCACACCGACCCCTCAATTTTTTATTTCCTTCCAGCAATTTCTCCCCCAAAAAATCCGTCAACAAATCGCTGGTCGGGACGGATCCGCCTCCATTCAGACGGTGAGCGTGAACTCCACGGGATAGTGGTCCGATACGTCGAGGGCCTCCGCCTGCTCGAGTCCGAATTCCTCGTCGAATCGCCGCACTCGGACGTCGCTGATCCTCGCCTGGAGCTCCGGCCCCTTCGCCACCACCCTGCAGATGGAGACGTTTCCTTTATTTTTTATTTTTATTTTTAATGATTTAATTGTGATAATTATTGAACTATGATGAATTGTGCTTTCATCCAATCGCCATAAAAATGCATGAAAATAATTATTGACCTCAACTGATACTGTGCTTTAAACCTGATTTCCCGCTTGAGGCCAATTCCGCGCGCATTTCCTTCAGTATTGAAAAAAAAAAAATATCCTCAGCGCCTCGACGATCGCAACTTCCCAAACGCACCGCGCAATCGATGACGCAACGGGCCAACGGAAATTCCTCACCTGGCATACGCGCAGTCGGTGTTGGAGTTAACGGTGGTATCCGCGTCGTTGTCCACGAGCCACCGATATTCCGGCTGGGTCCAGAGCCCGATCTCGTCCCAGTCCGAGCCCGACACGTAATCGCAGTCCGCGTTAAAGTCGCCCAACAGCAGGAAGTCCTACAGAACGGAATGCAAAGCGGGAACAGTGCTTCATTCGTGCTTCATCAGATATTTTTCGTTTTTTTCCCCTTTTTTTCCGTTCCCGTGATGTATCTAAGAGCAATTAAGCAGATTGATTTCGTACTATTCTAAGCATATATGTGGACGAATAGATGGCGCATGCGTTCCGAGGAATCAACGACATCGCGAGAAATTTTCTGGCGAAATTTTTCTATTTTATTAGATTTTAGCCGTGGGGAAAACTTTTCCCTTTAAATATTTACTTCCATTAATATCGTTTGTTAAGACGATATCTTGGGAGGATATCCTGCCTCAAACATTTTCCGAAACGAGCCCAGACCTTTTGGTACATCCTTATTTAATTCCTAAGGAATTAAAACGGCAGAAATGAAAGCGAGAGCCAACCGGCATAAGCGCCGCGAGTGCCTCCTCTCATCTCAGCCGATCCGCCTGGAAGAACCTCCCTCCCCCACCACCCCCTTTCCCCCTTCGGCCACTTGTCCTTACCTGCATTCCGTGGTTTTCCGTCACCCAGTCGTTGGCAGGGGCAAATTGGATCAACTCCGGCACGGCGTCGTCGGGCTTCACGTGAATGGTTCCCATCGTGAACATGAAATTCCCTGTGACCGTTTCGAAAATGATATCGAATTTATTTTATTTATTAATTAATTTTCGAAAATTTAACGAAAATATATGATTATCACAAAATTGCACTGGCCTATGACGCGAGACAATCACCACATGATGGCAATCTCCGAAGAAATGTCTTAATAATTCATATCGGATGATGTAGTTCATGCAGTCGTCAATTTTTACGAGCGCGACGGGAAATTAGCAGGAGAATTTGACGCCTAGCGATTTCAGCTCGAATCTGCAAAAAAAAAAAGTAAGCCACCCGAAATTTCCCCATCATTTTTTTTTTTTTAGCTGGTTCCAAATGAATGAACGAGTGAAATTTAAGACCGTGTTCAGTTTTGCCGGAGATTTCCAATCTTCCTTTAGAAATCACATCTTATTATTAATGGTATTACTATCGAGTTCGAAAATTCGAATTTTTGCAAATATTTCAGAAAGGCAAAAGCTCTACTGAGTTCGTTTAATTACCGCTCCGAAATGTGACGTAGTAAGGCTCCCGCTCGAAGATGTCGTCCGCAGTGTCGTCGTAGAGGATCGCGTCCTCCACCTGGAACACGGACGGTTCGTACAGGAAGAGGTACTGCTCCTTGTACGTGGTTCGGCCGAGCCTGGGCGAGGTGTGGTTCGTGTATTCCTTCCCCGACGCCGCGTTGAGGAGGCCCAGCAGAACCGGCACGGAGCTGCCGTCCGCATCCGTCAGCTCCTGGATGCACACCAGGTCGTAGTCGTCCAGGATCTGCCAGCGAGTGAAGAAGTCGGTGCGATTCCAGGTGGATGCATATGTTCATGTTTCTGGAGGGTTAGAAAATACGAAACTTTCCTTGGAGAGATTCCAAGGAAAATCGGAATATTTCCTAGAGAGAAAGACTTGCGAAAGACATGTGATAATTCGCACGTATCCGGTCGACGGAAGATGCTAGCTCAGACGCTGTTTGAGACTAATGTGGATCCATGAAGACTGGACTTCGAATCCTTGGCAAAAGAAAATTCACACGTGGCACATCCAGGGAAATAGGAAGTTAGAGGAAGGGAGGGGGAGAGGTAGGTGGAGGGGAGAGGAAGGAAGGGGGGGGGGGGGGGGGATTGGGGCTAGACGAAAAAAATTAGAAGGGAGACAGTAATTGCTCCCTGTCCTCCCACTCCCCTGAATCTCCCCATTCACCTGAACCTTCTCCACACCCCCCCCCCCACCCCTAACCCTCGATCTCTCACCCCTTGCCAAACTAAAATACCCTCCAAACAATTTCATCGTGAGTTCGCACATACCACATACTTCAAGAAAAAACACAATTATTAAAGCAGACTATATTACCTAGTAAAGTAGACATATTTTGCTAGCTATTCACGTGAGAGCCTCTTGCTATGCTCAAGAGCTCCCTTGCGCAACGCATCGAACGGGCGTACCATTCCGAGTCTTCTTGACGTGTCACGCACTGCGCCGTGTGCGTGACACCCCAACACAAAGACAGACACTCTGGAAAGCGAGTGTATCGCCGGTCTGCGTCGGCTCAACTGCAGGATCGCCTCATGATCCACTAGGATCGCCTCATGATCCACTAGGATCGCCTCATGATCCACTAGGATCGCCTCATGATCCACTAGGATCGCCTCTTGATCCACTAGGATCGCCTTATCAAGGAGTTTCTCAAATTTATCATTCAAATAGCTATAATGTGAAATTGCTGTCTCAGACCTGGAGAAGGATCTCGACGGCATCCGGCTTCCCCATCTTCCCATCCCCGAGCCGCTCCACGTTGAAGGTGGCCACCTTGAACTCCAGGGAGCGGACCGCCGCCCCCACCGCCATCAGCGCCAAGACCGCCCCTGCGCGCATCCCTCGTTAAGACCTCCCTTTCCGCGCCTGGGTATCGCGGGGAGAATTCGCACTCACCGAGTGGCCGCATTTCGACTGGGAGAGAACGAGAGGGAGAAAATGGCGGATCGGCCCCGAAGAAACTGGAGCGGGCGAACCCGGATCCTGGCATTTTATCCAGTTCTACAGGGTGGCACAAAAATACTGGCGGTACTTCGAAGCTTCAGTTATTGAATGCGAAAAAGGAAAACAATAACTCGAGTCTTCGAATTAGTTGGCAACGTCACTGGCGTACCATTTTTCGGCCCACGTGCATACACAAAATGCAACTCCGAAATTCCGCTAATTTAATTCTACGAGCGACCAAATTTTTTTGGGCCAACCTGTGCATCCACCTGCGACGATTCCCTCGCTTGTTCCGTTTTCTCTTGTTTTTATTTTCATTTATTATTATTTTTACTATATATATTTTATAATATTTTTTTTCATAATCTGAAGACCTTGCTCCGTGGGAATCTCGCAACGCGATTCGATTAGCAGTTTTCATTCGGACTTTGAGCCAAAACGATTGGATTATCACATTTAAAAAAGCGTCTCTTGCAATTTTTTTGCGGCATATTGCTCCAATGATTACGAATGAGTAATTTGAGCATTAAAGTATAATTACTAATTTATTAGAGATTAATTTGACTCATGGAAGTATTTAAACTATACATTGAATTTGTTTTAAAACCGTTCGTTTCCGTTTTTTAATTTGATAAATGCCTAAGATCGAAGAAGTTCGCATTGAGAACTTAAATTAGGTCTAAAAAACTTAATTATTTAATTATTTAGAAAACTAAATAATGAACTAACTAATTTACAACTCAGTAATATTTCTGCCTTTACAGGGTCCTTCGAGATGAGTAAAAGACGAAATGGCTTCTTTTCTTCCAGGAAGATTCCCCTCGAAGAGCCGCTGTCTGACTTGACTTGTTTAGACCTTGATTTGACTTGCTTAGACCTTGATTTGACTGGTTTCGACCTTGACTTGTTTTGACTTTAATTTGGAAGATGGAGGGAAAAAAACTTGCTAGGCATTTCTTGGGGCTGGGTAAAGGCAACAGGACTGCGACGCGATGTTCGAGGTCTTTATTGCCCTGCATAGGTATTTATTGCCCTGAAAGTTTCGGGTGAGATGGCAATCTCTGTTGGCAATCTCACCCGAAATTGCAATCTACTGGATGAAATTAGGGCGCAAACAATTTCGTATTCGAGTCGCGCTCGGAAGTGCAAGGCGGAATGACAAGCCATGACAAGCCATGACAAGCCGTGGCTGGCCGTGGCAAGCCATGGAAGGCGTACGATCATATCGGATCGGTCACGAATTGCAAGTGCCAGATTAGGTCTTATCTCGCTGCACAATGCCGAAATTAAAAAAATGCCATCGAGAATGCCACTATATTATTGGGGGGAGGTGGGGTGGGGGGAAGGAGGAGGAGGGGGGGGGGGAGG